AAAAAATTGACACAAATAATTTTCTTTCATCTCAATATATAAAAGGTTATCAAAGTAATTTATTCTGATACAACTACAGCACGGCAGCTCGACGGTTATACTTCAAAAACAAAATACACTGACTTTTGCACAGCAACTTCAGAAAGCGGTTTCTATATAACAATTTTACAACCTACTTTACCGACAGGCGCAGCCGTCCCAAACAAACCCTAAGTTTAGGGTTTATTTTGCTTTATGTATAATTTTGTGAAAGGTGTTGTCTATTGTTTTTGTAAGGGACCCTAACAGCATATAGGGTTTGACAGAGAAAGTCCCCCTCACAAAAGAAAATAATTGTATCTTGCTTTGTTAGTATTTGATTTTCTATCAATAAAAATCTGCGTTTTTTGTTGGATCTCTTTGAGTTTGATGTTGTTTTTAATACCAAGGCGTATCAAATTGGCATTAGAGCGGTGTTCTGGACTGAAATTTCATTTTTTTTCTCACCAAATTTTTTTGAATTTTCCCTCTCTGTTGCTGTTTGGAGGCCATATTCGCATCAAAGTTGTTATTTTTTTTACTGTTAAAGCCTTGATCCGGTTACCAATGGCCGGAAGAAGAGTTGAGGCGTTGGAAGAAAAGGGGTAAGTAGGGAAACTATTAGATGTGGGATCAATTAATGAACGTATTTTAACAATAGAAGGAAGGTTTGAGAATATAGAGGAGACAATGAAGCGAATGCTGGAGCTTCATACTAAAATTGCTCCGTCGGAAGCAAGGATAAATAATGAAGATGACTTGTCGAGGGAAGACAGAGGGGTAAAAATTTAATGAGGGGAGGAGGAAATATCCTACATTGAGCCTCTACAGAGAAGGGGTAATGGGTAGGGAATATGCAGGTAAGAGGGAATGGAACGAAGAGAACAGGGGGTTGAATTTAAGGGAAGAAGGGAATATGAACGAAGAAGGGAGGAGAGGGAACCATGGAGAGACCAAAATGCTCATGTCATGGGAGCAGAATGGGACATAGGGGTGGAGGGGATTAGAAGATTAGGAAATTAAAAATGCATGTATTTGAAGGAGAAGATATGCATGGGTGGATATATAGAGTGGAGAGATACTTTATAGTAAATGGGTTGACAGAAGAAGAGATATTGTTGGCCACCGCTCTGTCTTAAAGGGAAGGCACTGGCATGTTACCTATGGAGAGAGACGAGGTACCCAATCCATTCGTGGGAGGAGTTCAATGAATGATTGTTGGAGCACTTTTGAACCGAGCAGGATGCGGATTACTACGAGCAATTTTTTTCCTTAACAAAGGTTGGCACAGTGATGGAGTATCGGGAAAGATTTGAGCTTATGTCAAGACGATTAGGGAGGTTATCATAGACAATATTAGAAAACAACTTCATGAAAGGTCCCAAACCTGAGTTGAGGGCAGCAGTGCGGGTGGCAAGACCACGTGATCTAATAGAGGCGATGGAGTTGGCGTAGATGATTGAGAACAAGAAATTACTACATGAGAATAATAAAGGGGTCAGTGGAGGAGGTTCTTACCGCACAACGGCCACTTTCCTAGCACCAAAACCATACCAATTAAAAGGGAGACGCCAAAGGAGAGCAATTCGGGAGCCTGATCGGGAGGGGATTTCAAGAGGCTGACTGATACTGAACTGCAAGACAAGAGAGCTAAGGGGCTATGTTTCATATGTAATGAAAAATTTACATCATGACATAGATGTAAAAATCACACATTGCAGGTTCTTATTATATGTGATGGAGATGAATTGGATGAGAATGAGGCGGTGAAGGAGGAGCCCGTGCACTTAGAGGTGGCGAAAGTTTCATTGAACTTTGAAGTGGGATTCACCCTAAATCACACTATGAAAGTAAGGGGCATATAAGAGGAGCATGGTTTAAAATTGCGCAATATGAGGCTCGCCTTGAGGCCCGCCTTTGCGCAATTCCAGTAAAAAATGCCTCGATGCTTACGCCTCGAGTTTTTGTTATGAGGCTGCGCTAATTTTAAAATAATATTTTATTATTATCCGAACCTATCTCTGCGTTCGGTCACCTGACCCAATAAAGCCTCACGCTATATATATTAAAACTTACATAAATCTTGAAGTAAATGCCCGACATTAGACTCTATAGGAGAGGAGGAAGGGGAGAGAGCAGTTCATCATAATGATATCGAACCAAGTGGTAGACAAATTGGGGCTGAAACTGGTGGACACTGGAGGGTTTGGAGTGATGATGGATACAAGAAAGATAGAGAAGAGTAGAGGCATATGTCAAGGTTTGGTGGTAGAGCTGTAAGGGATCCACATCAAGGAGAATTTTCTTCCATTAGAGATGGGAAGTACTAACTTGATTTTGGGCATGAAATCGCTACAAATCTTGGGGGAGATCAAGGTGAACCGGAAGGCTTTGGCCATTGAATTTAGGTGGAGGAGAAAATGTGGTAATTAACGGAGACCCCAGCCTATTCAAGGCAATAGTTTCTTTGAAAACTATGGTTCGTGCCCTTCAAAGGGAAGGAGGGGGGTTTCTTGGTGGAGCTCCAGAGTCTGGAGAGAGGAGGGATAGAGGATGGAGAGGACATTCCAGACATTGTCCAGCCCCTGCTTCAATAGTTCAAAGAGGTCTTCAGCTTCCCCAGAGATTACCACCCCTGTGGGAGCACGAGCACTTTATTATTCTAAAGGAGGGAGTTCCCCCATTAGTGTACGACCCTATAGATACCCCCAAATCAAAAAGGACAAGATTGAGAAACTGATCAAGGAAATGCTTGAAGCTGAAATTATCAAGCCCAATGTGAGCCCCTTCTCTAGTCTTGTATTGCTGATGAAGAAGAATGATGGGAGTTGGAGGTTCTACGTAGACTATGGTGTCTTAAATAAGAAAATGGTACCATAAAAGTTTCTCATATTTGTTATCGAAGAACTGTTAGATGAGTTGCATAGATCTGTGATGTTTTTTCAAGATCGACTTGAAATCTAGATACCATCAGATCAGAATGTGACCAGGAGACACCCACAAGATAGCTTTTCAGAGGCACGAGGAACACTATGAGTTCATGGTGATACCGTTTGGCCTCACTAACGCACCAGCCACCTTCTAGTCCCTGATGAATAGGATATTCTAGCCCAACTTACAAAGGTTTATGTTGTTGTTTTTTTTTTTTTTAAACTATATATTGGTTTACAACAGGCCCGAGGGGGAGCAATTGGAGCATTTAGGAGTTGTGTTGCCCACCTTAAGGGAGCACTCCTTATATGTCAATCTGAAGAAGTGTTTTTCGCCCAAAGTGGAGTACCTAGGGCTGTGATATCTCAGGAGGGAGAGGCGGTTGACCAAAGTAAGATTGAGGCCATGCTTAGATGGCCCATACCCAAGAATTTAAAGTAGCTGGGAGGATTCTTGGGACTCGCAGGCTACTATCATAAATTTGTGAAAGGATACAGTTCTATAGCAGTGCCATTGATAGAATAGCTCAAGAAGAACAAATTCAAGTGGGGAGAATCAGCCACCCAGGCTTTTGAGGAGTTGAAGAAGGCTATGAGTAGTGTCAGTCTTATCCCTTCTGGATTTTAGCCAGCCTTTTATAGTGGAGATAGATGTTGCGGGCATTGGGCTGGGAGCGATACTCATGCAAAACCAAAGGCCAGTGGCCTATTTTAGTATGGTGTTGACGACTCGGGCCAGGCTCAAGTCAGTCTACGAGAGGGAGCTGATGGCGATTGTGCTAGCCATTAAAAAATGGCAACCATATCTACTAGGAAAATATTTCATCGTCAAAACTGACCAGAGAAGTTGAAAATGCAGGTGAAGGTAAATGCGCACATACGGGACATTCAGTTCGATGTGAGGGATAAGGTTTACTTAAAGCTTCATCCCTACAAACAGAAAACCCTAGCACGGAGATGGAATGATAAAGTATCACCCCGATATTTTGGTCCCATGAGATAGTAGAGCGCATAGGGGCCATGGTGTATCGCCTACTGTTACCACCATCGTCAGCTGCAACGGATATCCCTTCTTCTACACTTCCCCCAACCTTGACAGATGACAAGGTGTTGTTGGAACCACCAGAGATCGAAGGAGTGCGACCAGGAGTAACTTGAAGCAAAAAAGTGTTGATCAGGTGGAAGGGCCTATTATAGCACGAGGCCACGTGGGTCTTACCAGAATATGCAACAGCAGTTCCCTGCATTTCACTTTAAGGACAATGTGGGACAAATTTTTTTTTTTTTTTTTTTTTGGGGGGGGGGGGGGGGAGTATTGATACGGCAGAAGTAGCGAGAACTAGCACCAGGCGAACCTGAGAACCACTGGACTGATCGGTCCAATAATTTTCAGCCTAGGAGGGGTTGGCAGACAAGGAGGAGAAGTCGGTTGAGGGGGTGAGGCCCAACAGGGAATTAAATTATTATGTTAGGAGAGGATCAATTAGGAAATCCTTTCTTAATTGAAATTCAATAGAAAAGAGAAATACATTAGGAAAGAGGGCTGAATTGGGAGAGAATAAGAAAGCTTATTTAAGTCTAAGTTTAGGGTTTATTTTATTTTATTTAGAATTTTGTGAGAGATGCTGTCCACTATTTCTGAGAGGGATCCTTGTGGCATCTAGGGTTTGGAAAATAATGTCCTCCTCTCAAAAGAGGATCATTGTGTCTTGCTTTGTTCGTATTTGATTTTCTATCAATAAAAATCTGCGTTTTTGTTGAATCTCTTTGAGTTTGCTGCTATATTTAATACCAAAGCGTATCATGATCATAAGTAAATATAAATTTTCAAAGCAGGCGTACAGCATGCAATGAAAGATTTTTTTTAACCTTAAAAGCTCAGCCACATTATTGCAACTATAAATTCAGAATGTAGAAAAACTATATTCCAATATACTTGGCCTTAAAACAAGAGAAGCCATCTGAAAAAATTGATAGGATATATTGAATATGGTAGCAACTGAAAAATTCCAAATGTAACCATTATATATAACAACAGTACTTTGATTATACCTCGGGAGACTCCAGATTAGAATTCAGACTTAACAGAAGATCCTTTGGCTCTTGAGCTTTAAGCATGCTACAAAGTTTAGGAGTTAGCAATGCCCTGAGTGCATTATCTGCTGAATGATTACATGGCATAGACACTCCATCACCAACAAAACCACATAGCCTAGAAAGAGCCTGTGCTGCACGGACAGCATGGAGATTTTTAGCTATCTGCACACTAGCCCCAACGCCATGTGCTTCACCTGAATCGTTTTCCTCTGCTGTAGAATCATACTGCAGTAACAGAGGCAATAGGTACCTGGAAAGTATTTTTTTAATTTTTTTAAGGGAAAAAAGAAAATCAAATCATAAGCAAAAAAGAAACTACATCCCAAAACAAGGAAGAACCTAGTCATTCAATATATGTTTCCTGCTCTATTTTATTTTATTCATTTTCCTTTTATGTGCCGAGTTTGTTATCCAGGGAAGAAGTGAACAATGCCTGAAACTAAAAAAAATATGCACTTAAATAACAGTCCAAGAGTATCAGGAGTCAAATTAAGAGTAACAGAAGACATGTAAACAACTGTACTTGTAGACAACTTCCAGCCAGTAATCAAATTGAAAGTTTTAAATAGAAGTTTAATATAATACATATGCAACAAAAATTTCTTCCAATATCATAATGTTCAACGGCTCAATCTAACTATTTAAGACAGCCAAACAAGCATCATTCAGGCCCTGCAAGTCAAAAATGGAAAATAAACATTTCCTGAAATTCATTGACAACATACCATAAAAGGCCAGCTTTAAGCAAAGCATCTTGCATTTCAGCAGACACAGAAACATGCGCTGCAGTCTGAAGGGCAGCATCAACAGCTAACGGAACAAGTTCCAGTTCAGTGCAGTGAACAATATCCTCAATCAAGCCCCCAAACTTCAGCATCTCTGTTATTGCATTGTCAAATTGACTTAATGCTGAAAAAGTACACATTACGTTTGTGACAATTATTGTTGCAGGTTCATTTGGAGGAGTTGTTGGCTGTACCACACCCATACAGCGAGAAAGTAGTGCCGCAAGCAATGATATGCCACCATCCCTGATAAGTTCCTTACCATTCAAGGCAGAAGATGCACACCTGAGGAGATGAAAGCAATACACTAACTTTATTAAGATTCAACAATGACCGTTATGTACCTTTACTTCTAAAAAAAACCATATGAAGATAGTATATTGAGAATGAATTTCATTACGTTAGCCAAATTAGCTCGGAAGCCGCAACTAGAAGAGAGGCTCTTTCAGATGAAAGGAAATTGTTATCACTTTCGTCCACAGTTATTGCATTAAGTAACATGGGATAGCCTGCATATTTGAAAGGTTCCAAGACATCCCCATAACGTCTATACAAAATGCATTGTCCTTTCAGCAAAAGCAGCAATCTCCAAACTTGCGGTCCTTGAAGTCCTTGCATTGTCGCCTGCAGGTGCATAATGTGATGCACATATAAAGTACACATGTTTGGTGGAAAAATAAAAGCAATTGATGATTAGAAAGTAGTGTAAGCATAATATAACATAGAAAATTGCAAGAATTTCTTTGCCACGATATTTTAGCCTTTGTCACAATCTTTAACACAAACACCCAAGGAAAAATGCATAGGGAAACGTACAAAAATGCAACAATCAATAGATGCTAACAGGGATGTGTGCACATGCATTTATGACGGAAAAATGCAAAGAAATTTAAAATTAACTATCAACTTAACAGGCACATTTTAGAAATAAGGTAGTGTCTAGGAGTGCAAACGAGTTGAGTTGAGCTCGAGTCAGAGGTGTTCGAACTTGGCTCAACATCCAAATACCGAGCTCGAACTTGACTCGCCAGGGAAAATAGCTCGTCAAGCTGCTCGTCGAATCCGAGCACTGATACCGCGTCTCACACCGAATATTCATTTTTTCACCCACGGATTCATTTTCCTGCCCGCATCCTACATTCTCATCTTCCTGCCTTTCGTCTGCCCGCGGTTTCGTTCCGTCGTCGAGTCCAAGCTCTAATCCCGCATCCCACATCGAGTCCAAGCTCCGATCCCGCGTCGAGTTCGCATTCCGTTGCTCCGCCTTCGCGTCCGAGGTCCGCGAGCCACTCAAAGAGTACTCGATTTGAGCATAGGGATGTTGGAACTTGAGCTCGATAAGCCCATCAAGCTCGAACCCGTCGAACTCGAACCGGCTCGCGAATCGACTTGACTCGATTGCACCCCTCGTGGAATCCATGATAAAGATTACATGTCTACTTAATGAATAGGTTCACAGTAAGTACAAAGTGGATGATAAAAAATGTGGCTATTTTATAAGGTTCACTCTTAGCATGGAAATGTTTCAGTTGGAGAAAAGAACATAATCCACTTCAAAAAAATGTACAAATCAAATGCTTACTTTATTATGCCAAAATACTAAGATATTACAAGATGACGCCATTTTTTAATGAGATTTAAGTTATCTAGTTTAGTGACATTCTAAAACAAAAATTCTGTTGATGGAAATTGCATCCTAATTCAATGACACCTAGTATTGCTCAACTTGGGCAACATTTAGATCTCATGGTGCATCTCAAATTCAACTGCATTCATGGACTCTCCCATTCTTAGTCTATGTAAATAAACCTCGCTTAATAGTAATAGCACCAGAAGTTCCATACAGTTGAAGTAATGAACAAGTTATTAATAACACTTTATATTATTCTTCAACAGCTTTTGAATTGCTAAAAAATCATTTACATATATGCCAACTACATTGCAGCAATGCATGTGCATAGAACTCTACAATTATTATCAAAGGAAACGATAGCAATCTCAAAAATACTGACATCCTTCAAATGTTCCAACAATAATATTGATATCTTGACATAAAACTGGCCATTAAATAAGATTGAACCAACGGCTTCTAAAACCTATCAAATCTATTTAGAATATGCTAGGAAACACTTTAATCTCACAATGTGAGAACAATATGGTAAACTAAAAATAGCGCATACTAGCATCCTAATCTACGGAGGGAAGCTTGCATAGCAAGCTAGGGCCTTCAACAGTCGTACAGCAGATTGATAGCAAGCCGAAGCTAACATCTTCTTGAAATTCTCTTTGTCAACACCTCCCGCATATTTATAAACTTCTCTCCATTCCTAAAATGTAATATGAGCACATATGTGTTCAGAAATTTGTTTTCTAACAATAGTCTCAAAGTAAGCTGGGCCATGTAAAGAAAGCAAATCCTTCCCAAGCTAATTACTTCATTTCCAAATGAAGCAAAACTATCTTATAACAATGTGGCAACAGGAAGCTAAACGGTTAAATATATGTTGATCTTTAAACTCCTGGCAAACACTATAACTCTCATCATATTATTATAGTCTTCATGAAATAAATAATCTAATCAAGCAAAAGTTGCAATGGCATATAGCTAAAAGACATATTAAAAACCATAATAAAGATTACAGAAAAAAATCCTCCATCATATGGAAATAGTTGAAATTCAAATATTATTCTATTTATGGGAGCGCCATGAACGAGAAATTTATGGATTTTCTTTGGTGGTTTGGGTGAGCTATCAAGAAAATCCATATTCTTTCCTCAATAAAGAATCCCTTGGTTATTCTATTTATCGCATAACAATGACCATTCTCAAGATCTTCTTTCTTCCTTCGGGATCATAATGTTAGACCGGTCCAAGGTGGATTGGTCCAGCAGGCCCTACGCAAAGGGCCGGCCCGGGTTTACTCCAGGCGGACTAAAGGTCAGCATTTGCTGCAGCCCGCCCCATTGGGGGCCCCACTATTTGAATTGGATTTGGAAGGAGGGGGTGGTTAGGGCGGGAATTAAGTTATGCATGGGTTGTTTAGTAATTTTCCTTATTATTTTGTATTTTTTAAGTACAAGGGTTGGGATTAGGATTAGGGTTACCTTTGATTTGCTGAATTCTGTTGGTACTTTGATGCTCTTAGGCTCTAGCGACGTCTAGAGAATTGGAGAGATATATCCCCTCTCAAATTGAGGATCAATTGTATCTTGGTATTTTTCTTCCGATTTCATCAATTATTACATTATTTCTTGTTGTTTTTCTTGATTTGTACGAAGAATTGTGGTGGGAGATCACTGAATTTTCATTATTTATAAGTTTCACTTGAGTTATAAAAGTGTTGCCTATCAAATTTGTATCAGAGATGTATCCATGGCTAGATTTGGGGCTGTTTTTAGCTGACTCCTGCAGCAGCTTAATTTCACCTTCAAATCGCTGTTTTTTTTTTTTTTTGCTGTTTGGGGTGGGGCTGAAATGCGTATTGTTGGGTCTAACGAAGATCCGGGTATCAATAGTGGCCAAGAATGTTGATGCCATGGAGGAACGACTTCATGGGGGATGAGTTAAATCAAAGTGACGGTGGAGGATAGAATTTCCTCCATGGAAGACAAATTCTCGGGCCTACAAGAAATGGTGAAGATATGGGATCTTCAAAACCAAACGCCAGCATAGAAGGCAAGAGTAATGGTAGGAAGAGATACAAATTATGATAATCGTGGGGATGAAAATGACATGGAGATCATAGGAGAAGATGGAAGAAGACCCCATCTAGAACCAATTCAAAAGGATGAGAGAGGTGGAAGGTATGAGGAGAGGCGTGGATACATTGGGTATGAGCAAAGGGGTGCTGATTTTGAAAGAAGGGAAGGAGATTACAACCGGAGAGGTGCTGATTTAGAAGGAAAGAAGGGGGGAATCAAGGAAGAGTTTGGATATGAACGTGGAAGGGAGGATCGAGATACTTGAGGGGGACCACCCACTTGGGGAAGGGCAAATTATGGAAGAATTAGGGTAAATAGATGAGATCCGAAGGTAAAGAAGTTGAAGATGCCCATCTTGAGGGGGATGATGCACACTAATGGATCTACAAGGTAGAGAGATATTTTACCGTCAATAGGTTGATGGAGGAGGAGAAATTGACGGCAGTTGACCTATGTTGGGAAGGTAAGGCATTGGCTTGGCACTACTAGAGAGACATGAGGCGGATTATACGGAGTTGGAGGGAGTTCAAAGAGTGCTTATTGGAATGTTTATGAATCAGCATAGGGGACTTCTATGAGTAATTCTTTGACCTGACACAGGAAGGCTCGATGAAAGAATACCGCAAGAGGTTTGAGTACCTGGAGAGTCGTTTGATGTTGTCTGAGACTGTACTAGAGCGGAATTTCATGAAGGGGCTCAAGGCGGAGATCCACACAGCAGTTAGAGTGATGAGGTATTGTGACTTGGGAGAAGCTATGGAGCTAGCTCAACTGGTGGATGATCAGAAGTGCTAGGAGATGGGAGCCAGCGGCGGCAGTTCAGGTGGCTTGTGCAGGCTGACCATCACCTTCTTAGCACCCAAATGACCAACATCGAGCAATCTTCGTGAGACCCCAAGGCAGAAACCTATAAGAGGGGGTAGTGGGGGAACTTCAAAAGGCTTACTAAGAGAGAGCTGCAGGAAAAGAGATCGAAGTGATTATACTTTAGATGTGATGAGAAGTATACTCCAGGGCACAGACGTCGGGACCGAACTCTTCAGGTTCTCACTGTCTATGATGATGAAGAAGTTGAGGGAGGTGGGAGTGAGGCATGGGTAGAAGAGGAGGACAAGCTGCATCTAGACATGACAGAGGTCCCCTTGAACTCAGTGGTAGGATTCACCCCAAATCATAGCATGAAAGTTAAAGGAGAAATAGCAGACATGGAGGTAGTGGTGTTGATTGACAGTGGGACCACTCACAATTTCATCTCTAACCAGTTCGTGGACCAACTGGGGTAACATTGGTGGATACGGGGTGTTTGGAGCGATAATGGGCATGGGGAAGGCGGAGATGGGTAAGGATATATGTAGGGGAGTATTGTTGGTCATATAGGGGGTTCAGGTGAGGGAGGATTTCCTCCCATTGGAGTTAGGAAGCACTGATGTCATCTTAGTAATGAAGTGGCTGCAAACCTTGAGAAATATCAAGGTTAATTGGGGAGCTTTGACAATGGAGCAGGTGGTGGAGGGGAGAAGAGTAGTGATCAGAGGAGATGCGGGGTTATCCAAAGCCATGGTATCCCTCATAACCATGATAAGGATGATACAAGAGGTAGGGGGAGGATTCCTAGTGGAGCTGCAGAGATTAGAGGGGATCAGATTGGATGAGGGGGAGACATTCCTCCTTCAATACAACCACTGATACGACAATTCAATAAGGTCTTTAAGCCATCTCAAAGATTGCTACCATCGAGGGAGCAAGGGTACGCTATTACCCTAAGAGAGGGAGTGTCACCCATCAGTGTCAGGCCTTACCGTTACCATCAATTTCAGCAAGATGAAATTGAGAAATTGATCCGAGAGATGCTAGAGGTATGGATTATCAGGCATGGTGTGAGTCATTTATCTAGCTCAATCTTACTGGTTAAAAAAGGACGA